TATCCCATCCCACCCCCTCAATCCCCTTCTGAAGTCTTTGTGAATTGACTCCATCGTCTTGACAGACATCATGTTCTCACCATCATCTAGTTCTCTATATACCTGTTCAAATTTCGTGTTTAAATTCAATCTGTTTATACTTGTTACAATAATATGTTTAAATTTGCCTTTTGTAAAGTTTGTGATATGTCTCCTAATTAAAAAAACAACCAAAAGACCACACGCTGGTCGCATCCATTTGAGAAGAGAGACCATACTCTGCAACATATCAACTACATATGTAGAAGACCACACCCACCCCACGCATCGCAATCACCGACCCCATCCTTTTCAAACACACATTCGCACCGTACTTGTAAATTTTTCGGGAGCTTTAACCCCCAACCAACACTGTGCCCACGTGCAATCAACTCAATCTACATGTTACTCTTGTCGTAGTCTGTCTGTCCAACCAAGCTTTGCCAACAACTCCCCAGATTGGCTGACTTCCGAAAATCCTATCCCGATCTCCATCCCTTTCTTTGATAGTTCCCTTTCTTTCATAGCCTTTTGGTTTTGGATAGCAATGTCACCACAAACCGCAAGACTGTAAGCTTCCAATCGAAACAAATGAGGTGATCTGTGGTCCTCAAGTTTCACAGCCCTTTCGAAGAAAACAAGAAGATCTTAATCTAACGACTTGATATTCTCAACAGTTTGGAGGTCTTTCTGACCTTTCAGGTCCGAATGACCTCTAACTGGGTATGTTTAACCCTTGATTTAAATCCTGGGTGTAGCAATACATCAAGGATTTAAATCATCTTTGGCTGAATGTTTGTTGTTTACCTCCAATCCACCGCGGCTGGGATCTAGACCTTCATATCTGGTCTAGATCCCCTTTCAGTCTCTCGCCACACATGGTGAGGAATGAGAGCTGTAATTCCAATGTTGATTTGAAATTAGTCAGTTGTTTTTGATCATCTCATCTCATCTCTGGATCTGGAATGAGATGAAAATGTTCATGTGACTGCTTTGGTGAACTGCGCTTCAGGGTTGTCAGGGTGTTATCAGTTTGAATCGTTATCCAAAAAGTTGGCAAGGCATCGGAGGGATCTAGACATTGGTGACCCCTGATGTCTACATCCCTCCTCCGGATGTATCTGAATAACAATAAAAGATTTACTTACCATAGATTCCGCTGCGACTTTGTTTTTAACGGGAGCTAGCTCATGCTAGCTCGGGGTTAATTGAGTGTTATTTGTGATCTCCATGGCTGATCACTACTCATGCGTCTCAATTGTCATATAGGAAAATGAAACCTTGGCCAGGGTGTACCAGCGACTACATCATCCTGCTCACCCTCACTGAGGTTCGTACAACATATCAGGATATGTTGTTAACTAATGGCGATTGAAGCAGGCCAGTGTCCATCCACAACCTGGCTTGTGGAACTTGAACAAACCCTTCAAAACCCTGAAGGGTTCATTCACGAAACTGCTGTGCAGGTTCGTGAATCAAGCTGAGGTAATATCACAGGTCTTAATAAATAGGCGAGGACACTGACGTGTGATTTAGCAAAACAACACGATAAACTTTCTGTTCTTCATCGTCAATTTTCATCTCAAACTCTTTATTGTTTTTATTCCCGTCTTTTCAATCGCGATGCTAGAGAATCCGGTCTTTGCGGATGGCCTATTCACTGTCGGTCGTGAAGTATGCAAGAATCGATACTCCTCATCTTGTGGTTCGAACTGACCCTTTGATCCAATACGTTGTGCTAACTCCAAATAGGTTCCTTCAAAAGACTTCTTTTATCCTTTACCAGCTGGAACTAATGTCCACTCAGCAAGCTGCATGCTGAGTGGACGGTCTGGCCAATTACCTCATCTTATGCCACTTGTAATTATATATTCCAGAGGCGACGGCCTTTCCCTAAGATCCGGTCACATATATCAAGCTACTGGTCCATTTGTTTATGATGAGTTTTCGAGCCATATTGTGTTAGCAGTTATACCTACAACACTCATGGATTTAGGACCGGCCGTGGGTCCTAATGGCCCATTCATACCAAACATTGCAACACCAGTTAGAATATATGGTCTTGGAACACCTGTGTGTGCCCAAGTCGAGCCTGCATTACATTTTGGCCCAGAAGTGATACACGTGGCGGTAGAACACTTCCATTATTTCTCTGAGGCAAGATCTTTTCACCACGTTGATCACACAAATTCTGATATACAATGGCTGATCTCCTCTCTTTCTTGTATGTATGTGTTGATAGCTAGGAAGAAGACTAGGTGGAGGTATACATTATAGAGGAGACCCTGGGGTTGGTGCCTTAGAACTTGATGACTATAATGAGCACGCAGTGCAGATTTTGTTTTCTGGATACATTGCTTCTTGGGATTCAGACAATCAGGAGCTAATTGTACAGGTCAGCCGCGTGTATCTCTAGTATATCTCTATATAGTCAAAATTCTAAGTTTTTTTGAAGATTTCAGGCTTCTGTTATGGCAATAACCCACCAAGAAACGGAGTAAACTGGTCATATTTCTTCACTGGGCCCTTGGCATTCTTCTTTTTCATTACATTTGTACTGGGTCTGGGTCTTTTTTTTGTATCTTTGGGGGCTTTGATTTGGGTTAGTAAATGCAAAAATTATATGTTTCCAAAAAATTTGACACTTTCCATTGATGTACTTCAGCCTTTTCCCCTTCTGGGTGTGGTAAGCTCAAGTTGCTAGTTCTCATTGTCAAAAGAAGCATGTGTTCTCTAGTATCATGCTTTTCATGTCCTCATTTATAGACCATGTTCTGTGAAGTCATTTGGAAGAGTGGTCTTGTTCAATGAAGTTCAATACTAATGCAAAAGTATTGAACTCCTTGACCTCAAGGCATGAAATACTCTCCATAATGACATTGGTACCGCAGTTTCTCTGATTCACACGCTCAACAACAATTCAACAATACCTCACGTGTTTTTTTATCTCACAAGTCACTATTCATCTGTCAATTAGGTCTAACATGCTGTCTTGGTACGAGTTATGTGCATACATTACTTGGTTACCATCTCACATGAAATCCAAGCTGGAATTTTTCACAACAATATGCCAGGACGACATGATCTCAATTACAAGTACAGACTAGTAATTGAGATCAGCCCCAATTAAAGATCTTTCGGTGCAGGGTTCTACGGTAGGCAGAGTGGAAATGTCAAACCAAAGACACTTAACTTCAACGCATGAAGGAGTTTGCCCAAAGGAGGGGAGTATTTCAGATCTACATAACACAACATCGATAAATCTTATTGATCTTGATCCGAAAAAATCTGATCAAGATCAGAATGATTTATCGAAAGACTTTTGGTCTCAGAAGGATGTTTGACACAGCGGCGAAGAAGAAATGGCTGGGGATGCTCCGGTATTGAGGTGGTCTTGAACGTATTATGATAACGAGAAATCAAAGCGTCGCCAGAGATCAGAGACAAGCTTGAATGTTTGATTGTCTGAGCGATGTTACTCTTGTCTGTACGCTGGTTGTTCAAAAACGCCTCGATCTATGTCATGACTACGGAGAAATGCATCGCGTGTTAGAAGGAGAGTAAAATTTTAAGAATTTCGTAACATCAATTGTTGTAATAGCTTGAAATAACCAATTTACTACAGATAAACAATAAACAGACCTTACCTAATGTGGGACTCGACTAAATCTATTTTGGACAGAAATGAGGGCTTGTTCGTGGTTGGTTGGTACACGAGGCTGTCCATGGGGGGTTGCGAGTAAGGACAAATCGTAAGCGCGCATGAAAGCAAGGATCTGGTGAAATGCCGTCCAAACGTTATCCATAGTGATCGCTGCTGGTTCTATCTGCAGGGTTGTTTGTGCGGCGGTTACAAATTCGGTCAGCCACATGGGAGAAGTCATCATGAGTTCGTCAGCGTTAGGATAGTATTGAGCGCGGAGCCCATCAACACGTTCCGGCGGCACAGCGATGAGACCTTCAACTCCATTCGCTGAGAGGGGTGCGTAGTAGCAGTAATTGGGTGCGCAGGCGGTAGGGAGCACAGTTCGTTTGTCTCGTTGTTTCCTATACGAGTTATAATCATTCATCCATTTGTTCAAGGAGTCTTGAACGAGTGGGACCCAAAGATACAGAAACAGGAGCCTACAATGAATAAAAGAAGTCAGAGTTAATCAAGAATCCAAACAATCGCCCATAGCTTCAGACTCACTTTTGAAGTGGGTCATTTTCATTGTACTGACCAGTCTCCATCGAGTTAAATATCATGTCAATTAATGCAACATTATGCTGAATCATGAGCTGGGACCATAGACATTCAACTTTTTGATTGCGAGGTGAGTCGGTGAATGAATGGCGAGCAGCAGCTTGCTCAGCGGTGAGGTTTGCAAATTCGAAAGATAATTCGATTTGATGAGCTGCTAAGTTGATCGTTTCGGTGCCATGGTCGGTGACAGTTTTCTGCGGGATCCCTCCAATTTCCTTGACTAGATCGAGGAAATACAGGCCTATGTGAGCCGGGTTGTTGTTGGTAATATGGACAAAGAGACCGAGGACGCGTCGAGACCATGCATCGATAAAACCATATATGGTGATGCCAAACTTCTTGAGCTTATCGTGGCCATCTGCGGACCACGTGTGATTGGGACCGGGAACGTAGAATGTGCGACGTTGAATCGAGGCGCGCAAACGGGCTTCGACACCTTCAGCATCCATCTGTTTGACCATGGTACCCACGATTTTCCTGGGTCCAAAGAAGATAGATTGTCAATCCTTCATATACGATTTGATTGAGGTATAAGTCAAGAAGACTCACCGATGGACGGAAACATGGTATTGGTTCCGAAGGATGTGGTGGACACGGCGGTATCCAGCGCGCTTACCATCCGCGCGCCGCTTTGAGTGTCGAATCAACTCAGCTACATCGGCCAACGTAACTAGTCCTTGATCAACATCGTCTTTCCTGCGTTGTAGGCCAAGTAGTGTGCAGCGTCGCGCCAGGGTGCGCGGTGAGATACTGATGTCATGACGCTCTTCAAGTATCGAAAGGAGGTGCTCCGCGACAAAACCTTGACGGTGATAGAAATGGATGAGATCATTCTGTAGTTCTTGAGTTTCATTATCAGGCGCCATTTGTAAATCCCAGTTGGAGCGGGCGCGTTTGATGGTGCTCTGCGAACAGTCGACACCATGTTGAGTCGAGAGGTTGTCCTGTATCTGGCGGTTGGTGAGGCCTTGCTGAACCAGTGTCGTAACAATGGGCCGGTAGCCTTCGGTTAGGATTAATTGATTAGGCATGTCGGCATTTGGCGGTGTCAGAGGGGAGGTGAAAATTTTCGCGTTAAGAATTTTCAAGTGACGGACGCTCGAACACACCGCGAAAGTCCGGTTCGGCACAGAGTGTTTGGATGAAATTTCTAGATTTATGGAAATCAGTAAAAACAAGTGCCACGAGTTGCCATGTCAGTCAGGTTTCGAATATGTGGGTGTTGGAGTTAGATACCTGGAACGGTCCAAGGCCGTGACAGCGGTCTCAGTAGACGGGGCAGGGTCGGCATGGGCTGGACAGTACTGTTTCAGGCCTGGTACGTTAATTTTTTTCATTTTCGACGAAGTGACCCACATGGCACTTTAGAGCCACCGTAATAATCGTGATTTCACTCGCTTGAAGGTGCAACTCCAACTATCAATGCGTTTCAGCACCTCTGTGGAGAATGTGTCCAGGAAAGTTGCAGAGGTGGGGTCCGGGGAAAGGTTTGATGGGAAGATTTCAACCAAGAGTGATAACCCATGAGGTTATGGGTTGTCGACTGTCAGTGACAGTGTGACTCCCGAGTCCCAAGAGCTTTTCTGAAACGGATCAAGATCATCTTCAAGTTTCTTAAATTAATTTCATTTCACTTTCCACCATCTTATCATCTTCATCTTCATCATTTCAAATCAAAATTGTAAAGAATTCAACATACTCACAAGAATATCCGTTTTAGCATATATGTGAATCTATCCACAAGTGCTAGTAGCATGTAGCAATGCATGATCAAGAATCAGATGTGCCCGGAATCGGAGGATGCAGATGTGATGAGTTGATACTCACCCTTTCAAGAATCAAGTGCTGTTCAAGTGCTTTTCAAGAACTCAGTTTTGTTATCTACCCGACAAAGCCCAGCTAGAGAATCGAGATCGGTCTCATCAAGCACTCAATGATCATCTCTTGATGCTATTTTAAAGGCCATCAAAATCATGTCCCGAGCATTATTTGTTATTCTTCCTGATGGTTAGTCTGGATATACCTTACCAGTGGGCCATTCGAAATCAGATTGTCCATCTCATCCCACACTTGACTTGACTTGAAGTTGTGGTGTGGTGGCCTTTAAAGTGTCCGAGGCCATCATGGATCGATAAACTCGTGGATCCCACATACAGATATCCATTCAGACCGAGCAAGTTTATAAAAGTAATGATAATAAACACCATCAATTTCAGAACGCCAATTTGTCGGCAAGAATTGGAAGTCTTTGATTTCAACCAGTAAATCCTTATCTTATCCTAAAAACAAAATCAGTGTGTTTTAGCTTCGGAAAAGGTGTTATCTGATGATGAAGTACTTTGTCATCCAATAAACTCACCGTGATGAGCAAGATGCGTAGATCATGAAGATCCCTGCGTTTAAGATACTCTTTGAGAGATTTGATCAAGTCGATGGCTTTCAAGTTGCTATATATGATAAGCTCATCTTTTGACAAAAACATTGCTCACCATTTACCCATCCGATAGCGATCTTCGTTTGAAGTTTGCTAAAACAAAAACAAGTTCAACGAGAGGTGCTTTGGTTCTGGCGTCAGTGAACCCCTAATCTAATATCATATACCATACAAACCATCATCGATTCTCGAATCAGCCTTGATACAATCTGTTATTTTTAGCCAATTTTCTTTCCATCAGTGCTTCCTTCGACTTGTCAAACGATAAGAAAAAAACTTTATCGTGTCTCAAAGTGATGACTCTTGCGGATACGCATAGTATTAAGTAATCGCTGACCACTTCAGATCGATTCGAAACAAAATCTATCAAAAAGCTTTAACTGATCAGTCTCCGGGTGGTCTTTCCGGTCATCAGCTGACATCGGCATTCATCAGCCACTTTACCTTGTCTGTTTATCGTGGCAGGTATCTTCAAGATACTGTCTGGGGATAAACTTTATCATCGGTGGGTTCAACTTCAAATCTGACGCCATCATCGCTCTATCACTTATATCTAGCTAGTCTGCCTTTTCTGATCCTTTGGGTTCTCCTTCGACCATCGATTTCTATCGTTTGTCAATATACCCATCTAAAACAGCTCATTGGCTTTTTCTTTGGTGAGTTGTGCGAAACAACTAAAGGTAGATTGACTCCTTGGTGTTCACATTCTCTATGATCTTTCGAATGATTCAGACAAACACGACTTAGAAGAGGTCAGCCTGCTGTGAACCCAATAGATACAATTTTTTTTGTTTCTGCCAGGTTGGTGATTCGTATTTTGAGACGCGGTATGATTGATAAAAACTTATCGGTCATCTATGCTTTCAATCATCAATAGGAGCTATCTCCTTTTAATTTTGAATCCATCCTTTGAAATCATTGCATTCCATAGTAAGACTTTCACTTGACTGACTCTCGATGGATCCTAAAGAAAAGATGGTGACTTATTTTCTGATTTCGATTTCGATTGGACTTATCAAACGGTCTATGGTATCGTCTCGAGGACAGAGTTGCAACTCATTTCACAAAAGGGTATCAATTCGATCAGCATTGTCAAGTAAACGGGCAAGTTCTTGCAAGAGATACGAATTAAGATCGGCGCACGATGTACACGACTGTGGCCCAGTCTTCGTCTCAACCTAATGATCAGTGGAAGCAAAACATGATGGGTCCTCCCGCTTACCTGGGTTGCTACTTCATCGAATCTCTTGTTCAACAAGATGATCAACGCTCTTCATCGCAGAATGAGAAAACGCCATCGAAACATTTCGATATGCGACATCACGCCCATCCATATCAGATGTGTAACAGTCTCTGTGCGAAATCCTCATTGCATGAACCGTACTCGCACATGGGATATAATGGTCTTCAAGGAGGAACCTGCATTTGCTCTAACAGCCTACCCAATGAGAGTGTGAGTTTGTTTACTACTCCAGCTGCGACGCTGATGGTCATCCACTGACATATCACGGTCTTTTAGTATCTCGTTGAAGACGTTCACTGCCGAAAACATGAGTGTGCCGATCACAACGCAGAGCAGTGTGTAGAAAACGATCCACGGCTGGTTTACTATTGGGCCGTGCTACCCGAAAACCAACCTAATCTTGCAGTCTCTCTTGATAGCTCGACTTCAGTACAACGCAAGATATATAAACGTGGAATGAACCGTAGAAACCTCTTACGAAGTGTCATAGCCCGCGATGTATCAGACCCACCTGATCAAGCAGTTGGAGAACCTGATCAGATCACTACTGAATCTGGAGCTTCTAAATCTTTCGATCCATCTCCCAACAGCATCTTCTCAGGTCAAACTATCTCACAAACAGCAACAACAGACCCTGTTCCGATTGTGGCGGTAGCGATGGCTTGTATCTCATTAGGCCTAGGAGTCTTTTGCTTGTTAGTAGCTTTCAACCGACTTAATCAACTTAGACGTCACCAGAAGGAGCATCCGGAACCTATACTTCCTGAAATCAATAATACCCCGGAATGCACTAACACATTGACAAGGAAAGAGTCCTTACAAGAAGAGCTTTCGGTAGACATTCTACCATCATCTGCTCATCCTGCAAAACAACTCCTTATGCTTTCTCAACAATATCGTCAGACCACTCGCGCAGGTTTCTCTCCTATGACTAGTATACCTGGACGTGGTACTTTGAAGGATGGAGTTAGAACAGGAAAAGCTTCATATGTAACTCAACATGGCGAATTTCCTCATGAGATGAATGCAAATGAGTTTATAGAAAGTCAATATTCACCACATGATTTTAAAGATGTTCCATCAACGAAAAAACCATTTGAGGTTGAAGCTGATCATTTGAAGCCTTTGAAAAACCGTCGAATTCTGGACATCCAAGCCTCTCACGGCTATCTCAATCAAACTGGAACCAATGACTATTTCGGCTCAAATGCAATTCAAGAACGCCATTACCCTTCCAAGGTTGACTTACTATCATCACCAACCAATTCTAACGTCGTTTCCAAATCGCCCGAGTTCATGAATGCTAGAAACGTATGTGGTACTGGTCCGGTTGTTAGTCCAGAGAAATTGGCACGCGAATCTTATCCTCATCCGAACATCGTAGCTTCTGGTACAAAGGGATCATCAATTACTCCGATCACGAGAAACTCTTGGATGATGAAACATCCTCAATCTTTGAAATTGAAAGAATCTATAACCAACTGCTCACTAAGCTCATCAAGTGAACCTCAACCTGTTAGAAAGTTAAAGGTATCTTTTGGTGTGGGTTTAGAAACTGATCGACTTGATGTGACAGCTGAAGTGCCAGATGGAGTTGAGAAATCGCCTCTGATGACCGATTATTTTAACCTTGGATCTAGTCTTAGTCGAAATCAATCTTGCGTTTCTAAACCTGATATCTTAGATTCAGGAATATCGGGAACTGCCCGTGGGAATCGACTTACTTTAGATCTTGATGAATACAAACGCTTTTCCTCGAGTAGCCGACTTGCAACACTCGATTCACCAACAGTAACAAGTCATCATACAAGAAGTGATTCGAACTCTAACATCTTACCGTTCCCTTCAAGAGAGACACTCCAGTCTAATGAAAAACATTTCTTGAATCAAAGTACTCCATACCCCTCTCTTGGTTTACCAAAGTTATCTGAGAATGACACAAACTCTACCCAGTATCCTCCAGTGAAATCTACACCGAAGATGAATGGATTGTTAAACTTTGGAAATATGCTCAGTAACTTCACTCATTCCCCATCCTCAAAATCAAAGATTGAAACTGAAACCAACTCTGAAGAAGATTTCAAACGAACTTCAACTTGTGTTCATCCAAAGTTAAATTGGTCTAGACGAAGAAAGATTATAAGTGGAAATTGGAAGCGACTTAATTCGATGACGACTCCAACCAGAAGTCCATTGACTAGTTCGATCTCTTCTGATGCTCTTAGTCAAGGGTATTTAAAGAAAGGTCATCAAGCACATTCGGATCTTAACCATTCCTTGAAGGCTTATGCTGATTCATCATATGAGGTTAAACAAGAAAGATTACGAAACCGTCACAAGTATTCTAAATCAGTACCTGATATGAGTTTTTTAAGTCAATTACACTCGGATGATGACAACGATCATGAACCTAAACAACTTAATATCATGAATCCAGATCAACCATCTTTAAGTGACACGCCTAGTTCTTTTAGTCCTTGTGAACTCCAAGAAGGAAGAAAAACCAATTCTCTCACAAGCGTACCATTTCATCATCAATTTCCAGGAAACCATCGAAATTCAGAAGATTATTCTACTCTAAGTTCATCTTCTGGTAATACCGCGATTAAGAAAACGGATTCTATTCAAGTGACATCGATGAATTTAAATCGATTTTTAAATCATTTAGGTTATGAAGAATTTAAAACTCAACTTGGAATCATCGATTCTAAGGGGTATTCATCAGGTGGTTATTGTAGAAAATCAGATCCGATTCTTTATGGTAAATGGTCAGAAGCCATGGAACTTTATCGACAAAAACATTTGATTAGTTCAAAATCATGTGGAAATTTATTATCTAAATCTTTATTTCAAACTTGTGAGAAAGATATCAAGCCAACCTTAGAAATTCAAACTCCATTCTTTAAAAATCAAACTTTAAATAGTGGTGAAGATCAAGGTAGTGATCCTAAGAATCAAGCTTTTCGACATCCGATTTATAACCTTCCAATGTTATCTCGACCTGATCATTCTAAACCGATTGATAAACGTGAAAACCCAATAAATTCGATGAACCACACCAATCCAATTCTTTCTGACCAAACCTCATCCCAAGAAAGTTACCGCTCAGCCCAACCAGGAACAACCAATTCAAGTTCCCAAATCCATACAACAAACCCAAGCACCCCAATCTTTTCAAGTAAACCGAATCAAAGACCACCTCATCATCAACACCATCATCAAGAAGAAGATGAATCGATTCCATTTTTTTCTAGACCAAGATCAAGTACCTCGATTTTGAAATTAACCGATCGTCATTTAAGTTTAGGAGGCATCTCGTGTCATTCTTCGGAAGATTTATCGAGTTTCTGTACCGGTGCTGCTTCTTTAAATTCTGAACCTCAATGGAAATCTAGGTTGAACTCTGTGGGTTCGTTTGCTACTAATCAATCTTTTGAAGGTCAACAAAAACTTTGGGTTCGTTGAAAATTTTCTTCTTCTTCTAATTTTTCTTGTATTTAAATTTGATTTAATCTTTAATCTTTTTTATACTGATTTTGGTTTATGGTTTTTGGTTTTTGATTTGGATTTTTAGGTGGCTAATCCTGATCGATTTTATTCTCCAAGTCTTGAATCTATCTTTCATTCACCTTCAAGATTAAGTCTTTCTCCTGTTCCTGGTCTTCCTTCAGCTTCAGTGAATTCTTAATTATTAATTTGATTTTTATTCAAATGTTATCATCTTCTTAAAGGTTAAAGTTTTTTTAGAGTTTTTTTCAAAATCGAATGAAATGTTATCTTTCCAGGTGAAAAATGTTTTTTTTTGATTTAATCTTTTTTCAAAGAAAGAAAAAAAAACATCAAAAAAATGTGTAGAGTTTGGTTATTATATTTTATATACTATCAATCACTTAATTATTTTTTTCATTCTTTTCAAAAAATAATAATAATAATATCAATTTCAATTTCAATTCTTTTTAAAATAACATGATCTAATCAATCATTTATATCTTATATTCGAAATTTAATACTTTTAGAGAATAAACCTTTGAATCTCCTTTATACATCTTATCTTGAATTTAATAATTGTTTATAATAGGTTATTTTTGTTTATAAATATAGACAAGTAATTATACATTCATTTTGATTAGTTTATTTGGCTTTTTCAATGCTTGTGAGTTGTGGTTTTCTTGCTCAGGTTGGTCACATCTCCTTGATATCTAGTTCAGGTTAGTCACTTTCCCCTTAGGTGTGTTATATAAATTTCCTATAAAACATCAAAGGTGTTATTGCGTATGTACATATGATAAGGTGAGAAATATCAATTTGACTGGAGTATGTTTCAGTAATCAGATGGGTATTTGTGGGATTGTCTAAGTAGAAAACCAATCTTGGTTGAAATTGAACTGACTTGAACTGAATTCGGAGTGCTTGAGTATCAGTAGTTATGAAAGAATTTGTTTAAATGGCAGATTCGAATTATTTGAATTATATTTTATGGAAATTCGAATACCATGTAAACCACTTCTGGTCTACAAACTACTTTGAAAGTGGAATCATCATAGAGTCCACCTGAACGTTGTCATTGTCATTGGGATTCATCATAGGGTAAGGCAAGGCTGAAGCATCCTTGTTTGAGCTCATATACTATCTTTAACATCGTTCAAGCAAGAAATTTATATTTTGGATAGATCAAAAGAAAAATCTTCCGCTCAGATTTCTTCAAAGGTATTTATCTCTCACAACTCTGGGTTTACAAGGTTTTGTGCAACATACTGATTATAATATGATGCTTGATTAACTCTATCACTCAAGTTAATATTTGACCATTCCAAATTTAAAAAGATTGGTTTCTTCAACTCCAGTTTAATTGCCATGATATGATGACTTTATATACAGGGCTCTCAATTAATTTATTGGCTGCAGGTCGAAGGCTGCTCGAATTTCAACACTGACACAGTTTGACCTTGCCCTTTTGACTTATTGGCATGGGAAGTAATTCACCACATGATTTCATCACGGATGTCTTTATAAACAGCCCCGTAGTCTGTCCGTGTTTATCCTGGTAGACCACTATTCAACGTGTCCTTTGAAACTAGATGCACATGATTTGGGTACATAGGAAAAGCCATTCAGCTTATGAACTGTGGCTATTCGTGCGTTGCGGATATGATTGCAATTGACACATCGTTCTAACAGATTCTAATTCCTTCATGCAAAAGTCTACTGATAACAATGTATAGGAACTACCATGCAGGAATAAGATCAAAATCCAAGAATAACATAAAACTCTAAAAGATGTATACAAAAGAGACTTTGATTCCTCTTCCTACTCTATCATTACTTATTCTTTTCAGCGCATGCACAGACCCCTTTGGTACTCATTCCTACTTCAGATTCGCCATTTTCAATTGCACAACACTCTCTTAAAGCTGAGATTTGTTGAGCAAGGATATCAAGTTCTTGATGAACTTCTACTTCTAATTCGTCATTCACAACACTTGTCACTAATCTTTCCACCTTGTTACACAATTCGATTGGTAGTAAAGATGACATGGCTGATGAAGCCCTGCCACCGAAAAGCGCGAGAATGAGTAACACGTTAGGTCCGTTGATCGTGTATCCAGATGTTAAAAGATCGTTTCCTATGCTACTTCGTCGAATAGTATCAAGGATATGATCGACTTTTGGCTTCATGCCTGATCGAACTTCTACTGCACCCGCCGGGCACTCATTTTCAATGACGGATAGAATATGGACAATGGCCACCGGAGCTTCCGTTACATTCGCGACCGCATCCAGATTGGTCCGCAGACGTCGGTTGACAGTAGCCCAAGAAGATTTGTTAAGGGCCAAAGTGGTTGCAGAGCGAGTTTCCATTTCGATCGATGGTCCAGCACTAGATAAGACTGAAAACCCTCGTGGGAGACCTGTAGCTGAGTCCACCGGTCGCATAGCATTGTATAGATCTTCCAATTTAACCCAATAACTGGGGTACTTGAAGCGAGCCACATCGAGCACTAGTACACGTTCCGTGGTAGGATCATAGCCAGCGATCGGACTGAAATGACCATCGCCAGTTTGACCAAGTGCAGAGCGTGAAAAAGATACCACCATGAACGAGCTAGGCGTTCTGGTTGATTCTTCGATCTGAGCCCTGAACTGTTCAAGTGAAATACCAGAAGAGTGATCTGATTCATTGGATAGTTGAGGGTATGAAGAGTAAACTCTCAAGCCATTGCAACGAGCCAAACAATTGAATTCCGAAAGAGTGATTCCAACCCTTTGAACTGCCTCTAGTGGACGACAACAATCAAGCATATCTTGTTCGTACCAACGCCATGGATGTTTCCAAACCCGACGAGGATCTACACCGAGAGCATTGAGAACGGTACATAGACTGGCTAAACCACAAAAAGAAGGTTCGTGTTGAGTGACGAGTTGAGATGAGAGAGGAAAGAAAGCTTCAAGATGACCAGAGTCAAGGGCTTGACGAAAGAGTGATTTGCCAGCTTCGGAAGTGAATGGAATGCAACCATCTGGTAGCTGACGTTGATAAAAGGAGATTTGAGATCGATCAGGTTTGGTTGGGCGGGTCGGAGGTTTCGTTTCTAAAGTAGAAGTTGAGCTCGTAGGCTCATTCATTGAATCTGTTCGAAGAAAGCCTCGGGTCACAGGCGAACGGCGAAATATCGGCTTTGGGGGATTTGGCTGAATAGGCACCGAAACAGTTGAATATCCTGCGATGCTGGTGAAGTTAGGCTTGATGGATAAAACGTAAGGTTGTCGTGGACGCGATGATGATAGGTTGTGCACCCGTAGGTTTCTAGCGATGAAAGGTTTGATAGCCAGCTTTATCGAATTCAACAGTTTTGATTGGTAATAAATAATTTCTTGTTCGCCCACGTTGAGGTGAGGGCTTTAGGCTGCTTCAGCTTTTGAAACAAGCAGGAGCAGGGTTCAAGTAGATGTCAGCTACATATCAGCTTCCACAATGACAAGAGCCCGAGCTGTGTGACAGGCCAGTGTGTAGGTGACATACCTCTTCAGGATACTCCTGTGACATCTCCTGACGTCATTGCTTGCGTTTCCAGATCTCTGCGTTCGACTTAATCCCTCTCGAGTCTCGCTCACGAAAACATCACCTTTTTACTATGTCGATCTTGTCAGGTCCAGTGATTGGGACCGTCCAAGCGAAGCAAGCTACAAACTATGATCACTTGATCTTGATTCCAGCTAGTCGCGAACAATACTTGACTAGTTTGTCATCCCACGCAAGCCTTTGGGGGAGCACACTGACAGAAGAACAATATCTAAAGCGAGAAGAGGTTTTGAGTATGACTGAAGCGTGTCGTGATGCTCGTAGTCAATGTTGGTGGGCCATCTCTCGTGATCTTAATCGATCCAACCCCTGATAACCACATCGATTGCGTCCTCTTCTTCCTTCGTATTCTTCATTCTCACATTTCTAGGGTTCTAGTCTCAAAGGATGCTCCAGATTCACTTGATTATTATTGCTCGTGCGAGACGATGAAACGAGAGGTGATCTGCGCCATTGGCTCTCGGCAGCTTGTACCTCCAAAACCACTCGCCATCCTCCCAGCATATTCGATTTGCTCCGTATTCTGTCCACCTCATCATCGTGGAAAAGGTTATACCCGTCATATGATGCGCCTCTTGCATTTTCAGCTCGCTTCTCCTGATTGGCTTGCAACACAATCAAACGTAGCTAATCCTAATCCTAGATTCAACGACGCAATCCTATCGGTACTATACAGTGGTTAGTCAGTAAAGTGTTACTAATCAAAATATCTTCAGGCCCTGAATTTTTTCACGCTTGCTTAATATTCAAAATTGTAATTCTTTTGTTGCCGTAGCTAATGTGAACTGATTTCTCCCTTCATGGACTTGTTTTACTACAACGAGCATTCAGATATCGGGCCAGAATTTTATGCCAAGGCTACTCCTCCTGGATGGCAAGTTACAGAAAGTCTCCAAACAGTCTGGACCGTAGATGATTTGCCAGTAGCTGATGGCTTTCCTACGATGGATCTCAAGCCGATCCGCTTGAAAGATTTCAAATCTGTCGCTGAATCGGATTCCACATGGCTACACCAAGAGTTGTCGAAAGAAAACGCGCAGAAATCTGCCTGGTTCGCCTTCCGACCCGACGGTGCTGATCTCGAATGGCTGATAACTAGATCTAACTTTTATGCAAATATCTTAAGGGAGTCGAGTATACCAGACCTACTAGTGGTAGATATCTGGGGTTATCAAAAGGAGCAAGATGATTCCGAATTCATCACCTGGTATATTGATTATCCAGCTGAAACGCTATATTTGGCTCGGGTTAGATGTCAACCAGAAGATTCAATCTTCTTCAAGGTTGTTTTCAATAAAGTGGTAGAGCTTGCTAAGGAGCAAAGATGTAAAATGATCAAATGTTGGAATATTGACTCTCGTCTGGTCAACAGTCTTGGCTTTCCTTCTCAGACTCAACCGAGAACAGATAGTTTATCAGCTGTAGCATGGTATGGCGAAACAATAGACCATTTAGAATGGTTTGCAAATGAAAAGCTCTTTTGGTGCTAAAGATAATTTGCAGCAATAAAGTTACTGAAATTGTTTCCTACTTGATGCTTGGGAATCTGGCAGATATCATATGGGGGATGAAGAGGCTGGAAGAAGTTTCCATGAAACTCAAAACTATATAACTCCTCCATACAACCCAGGTGATGGTTGCTGGGATAACATGGCAGTCAGATTGATATGATCTGATAAGAAGGGGGGTGAGAACTTTTCAAGCACCTGTTTCCAAACAATAAGGGTGCATTCACTGCAATTCCTGTTGAGAAATCATGTTCTGCAAAATTTAAAGTGTCTATTTGGTGGTGCATGTTTCATTTTTGCATTAAAAAAATTACAAAATGTGATTTCTGGTCAGAAATTCATTGAGTGAACGTGCCCTAAGAGCACCTCCACTGCAGGTCTGCAAGCATGAAGTGTATCTTACATTTGCAGACCTGGGTCACAAAACCACCATCCTGTGTGGTCTGAAATGGTGACCATTTTCTATTAAGACAGGTTTCACATGATCGGAACTCCAATGATGAAGGATCAACTACACTTTTGGAGCAGACAGTATTGAACAACTATTAGACAAAGTCTTGGCAGACGTGGTGATAAACTGTCTATGATCACCAACCAGGCAAGTCTCTTGATAGACAAATCATCTAGCTTAACTCAAGAGAGTATGGCCATGATTGACCCTGCACTGTACTCATGTTGTTGATTATTTATATTGTCATGACCAATTGTCTGACTGGTTTTGATTTGTTCAAGGAAGGACTATTATTTTTGTGTAAATTTTGCAGTACCAGGATTTCTATAATGACATCCCAAATTTGTATGAGCAGCAAATTTATGTAAATTTACAGTGATGAGAAAACTCAAACAACTATAAGATAAAGAAAGATAGACAAACAATGCGAGGCACAAAAGCAAAGGAAAGTGTCAAGATCTACATCATAAGCAGCAAATACCTTCAAAATGAAACAAATTGAGTTGAGTGTGATATAATGAGAGAATGTGCAGTATTGGGTGATGGTTGAGGTGGTATGGTATGTTGAAGAAGGTTATGGAAAGGAGGGGTTGGAAGAATAAGTTGTTGGAAAGATGGGAAAGTGTAAGACAAGACAACATGGGAAAAAAGGTGGTCAGTGTGGTGGTGGTGGGTTAGTTAACAGTTAGGGGTTGGAGGAGGTGTAAATAAAATGGTTAATGAGGTAGTGGAAGGGAAAGTTGGCTAATGAGCAAGTGAGGGCAAGGAGATGATCCAATGGGTATGTGAGTATTATAGATAAGTATGTGGTAGTGAGATTATTAATAAAAAGTGTAGAGAGGGTATAGTAAAATTGAAAGGATGTGAGTGTCATGGGGAAAGTGGAATGGTTTGGTGGGATGGGTGTTAGGATTAGGGTTTTGTAAAAAATGAAATTGAATATAGTAAACTTACCTGAGCAGAAATGTTAGACAGTATTGGAAAGGTAAAGAAGGGAGAAACCAATCCAACGAACAAAATAAACAACAGTATATATATGACTAACACTGATGTGGCTTTAAAGATAATGTTACATAGATTAATTAATAATTATCACAAGTTTGACATTCATAATAGTTTTACAAGGAGTCTTTGTACAGCTATTTTTCCCCCAGCACCACATGTCAAATATACAGCTCTTGATGTTCAGCACAGCACAGCTGTAACAGGTGGTGGATTAAGTCAACCTGGAACCTGAACCTCCAGTTCAACCTGGTATTGGGCCCCAAGCACCCATTGATGTTTTCATTGCCACATTGCAAATTTTCACTACCAACCACCACTTGTTGCACCACTGGTTCCTCCCTGGAATTTTCACCCTTCCCCCTCCCCTTCTAGACATGATGCTCCAACTGCAACCCAGTAAATACAATGCCTCCATCAAAATTCTGGCAGTGTGGTACCTCCACAAAAACAAAATTATTGATCAAGTCTGGCACCTTTGGAAGTCCCTGGTCAGTTCCCGCAAAATTACTTGCCCAATTCAAATCCAATTGAGAAGGCTTTCAGTGTTCTCAAGTATCAATGTACCCAATCCCTCATCAAAACTGGGGCTGAAGACAAAATCAATTTGATCATGGATGCAACTTGGAATTTGTTTTTGGGTGCCCTCATGCACAATTTATACACATTATGTGGGTATTAGATGTGGCAGTAGAGTGTTTAGATATATAATGGACCCCAATATTTATCGCCCCCCTACAAGATACCCGTAGCCCCCATGTTTGGGGGCATTACCCAAGGTACCCGACAGAACCCAAGCACATCTTGCGCTGAGTCAGACCTCAGGGGGCTACTTCCTTGGGCTTCATCCCACAATGAAGCCCTTTAACGCTTTTCTTTGCTCTCCTTTGAGATTCCACGGGCCTCATCGTAAAAAAATGAAGTGCTACTAATTCAATCAGTGCCCTTACCCCCGAGTTAGTACAACATGATAACAGATAGCAGGAAGAAGGACAGGACAAAACCCTTGCCCCTCTCCCTCTTTGTCAAACTCTGTCTCTTTCTTCTGTTCCCTCTAGAGTCTACCTTCAATTGTCCAATACATTTTGAAACCTTGCTTTAATCAACTGATATCTACAGCCCCTGGAATGAAGGCTGGAACAAACACAAGAATGAAGACTCAACATGCCATACCTTACCCAACCAACTTGAATATCAATATTGACCCGCATTAGATCAAGAAACAACTACAAAATATCAATCATCTATCTTTATTGATTGGATTGGATCATCAAATTAAATTTGTTAGTTCTAGTTCAAATCATGCAACCAGATATCATCATGGAGATTGGATTGGTAGTTTGTTATCAAATTGGTTATTAGATGAAGATTGATTTGTTAAATAAATTGGATATGTTACCAGAGCCCGCGGAGGTACAGAGTAGTCCATTCATGGTTGAGGGATAGAATTCACAGGTGAGGACTGTAGTTTGACACCAACGGACATGTGAAGAGTGGCTACCACATGTCTGTAGGCAAGAGACGCCTCAGAAGAAGTGAAAGGTTTTTCTCACTTCCCCTTCCACGCTCTCCTGTGATCCTACAGTCACACTCGAGAATTCGTCAAGAACCCTTCTCTCTCCCTCTCACATTCTCTCCTCTTTTAGCTTATATTAGTTTATTTTAAAATAAGAAGGATAGAGTCATTTATTTCATCACAACACATTTGAATGTGGAGACAGTTAGCTACCATATAATTTCTAAATAAATATCACGATCACCCAATGATTCAGGCAGCAAAATTAGCAGAAGAGGCTAAACTAGCAAAGTTCTTGAAGGAGAAGGCTCAGGCGGAGGAGAGGTCAAAAAGAGCGGAGTCCCAATCACCTCAAGTTGGTCAACCATCTCAAAGTGGACAACCTCCTCTAGTTGGACAACCTCCTCCCCAAGGCGACAACTCGTCACAACCAGTTCCGAGATTCACCATCACCACGGGCACTCTAGCTTTGAATGAGGAAAACTACTTGAAGTCTTCAAAGTCGACTGAAAAAGGTGACAAGGAGGACTCCAGTTCCAACTCCGAGGGATCAGATGGTGATAGTGAGTCGTCTGATATGAGAAAGGCTAGGAAGAAGAAGTCAAAGAAGTCCAAGAAGGGAAAGGGGAGAAAGAGGTCGGTCGCAGTATTGTCCTCAGTGGATGGAAGAGGTGTTTTAGGTGGAGAGGACCTATTGACATTGATCAAGAAAAATTTTGGTAAGTGCTTACCTTCTGGTTGACGGCCTTTTTGGCGATTCTACCCCCCCTACCTTTTCTTTGTCTTCCTGTTACCACCCTCCCTACCCAGCTTATCACCCAAGCTCCAGTTATTCTGTTGTAGCATGGTGAAGGTAGCGGATTTGCACCTATTTTATCAGTGGGACCAGCTCCGGGATAACCCTGTTGTAGCTTAGTGTGGGTTCATGTCCTATATCAGCTCCAAGAGATACTTGTTGATGCTCAAAAACCTTTTGGTAGTAAAGATCATACCTATGATTCCCAGTTCCTATATGACCAATCTCTATCCAAAGAACGAGGCTCCCATGAAGGTAGTAGCAGGAAGAGGGGAGTAATTTGCCCGTGCTTGTCTCTTGGCTCGTGAACAACACGTCTTTGTGACCCAGAAAGTTGTTATACTAGCTCAGAAGTACTGATTCAGTTGGAAATTGTTCTGTACCTCCCCTTCGTTCCTAAGTTGGAAGAGAAACCTTCTCTGACCCAGACTGCCACCATTCCTATCGTGGATGAAAGTAGCAACATAATCCTTGATCGCTTGGCAGATGCCATTAAGGCTGAAAACATGGATACGGTCAAGTCCTTGAAAGATAAATTGATGGTGGCGCTAGAGAAGGAAGAAAAGGTCAAGGAGGAGAAGAAGAAGGAAAGAAAGAAGAAAAAAGAAGAGAAGTCAGAGAAAGCTAAAGGCAAGGAGAAGATGAAAGAGAAATCCCAAAAGAAGCGTAAAATAGACAAGAAAGACGTACCTTCTTCATCATTGAGCGACTCAGACTCCTCCTCCTCTGATTCTTCTAGCTCCAAATCAGCGGCTGAGAAAGCCAGAAAGGACTCCTCATTGTCCTCTTCAGGTGGTTCCTCATCGTCGTCATCCCCCTCATCAAAGAACAACCCCTCAGGAAGCTCGTCCAGCTCAGATTCAGATTTGGGCTTAAAGTTCAAGAGAACGAAAGCATCTGCCTTCAATTTGCCTAACTTGCCAGAGAAATGGCAAAAGGCGTTTTATAAGAAGATGAACCGCTACGTTCCCCTGTTGGTATTCAAGCATTCTTTCATCGAAGCACATCATGCTGCTAGCGCCTTTGGTTCAAAGAAGAGCAAAGGCCCTTGGTTCGAGGCTTCTGAGGTCTAGTTGGAGCGTCGTATGGGTTATCACTACGCCAAATTACATTTTTTCCTAGGCGCATAGAAAAGTAGTTTGCACGTAGAAAACTATACTTTTCTACTCACATAACGCACTTTTCTAGGCTCAAATAATAAATCAGTGACTAGGTATAGAAAAGTATCTATTTTCTGTCGCACACTGCCTCTCAACAAGTTTTATGTTTTTGTCCTTTGGCTGGTTGCAATTGCCTAACACTATCCATCAAGGGTCCCACTTTACAATTGAATCACCTACTTATTTCAACCAACATACCCCGTTTATAGTCATTGTTACTGTCCCTTCACCAGACTCTCAAAAACAACAGCGATCCTGCCCTTTGGTCTGTACAAAGCCATGCATAGATTGAATCAAACGATGAATATACATATGTAAAATTGAATGCCACGAGTGATATGTTGTCTTATGTAGTCATCACAAAAGTACAAAGTAACCTGTATCATCTCGTTGCTTTAAGATAATGGCTCATTGAGGATCAAGTAAGTCATTGAACCCACGAAATGCACTCTTAACTCGCGTCGGTCGGCCCCTTCACCACCAAGCTTACATGAATCACAACATTTCTTTGTTCTATGACTCATCTACACTCCCTTCGATACCCTCCAAGAGATCCAGGCAATTCCAATCCACCTGGTATGACGTACGAGCAGCACCTTGGTATTTTATCTTCCTTTCATCATCGCTGTTTTTCAACCCTGGAGCAAGATATAAACTGCTGGTTATCTACGAGACTTGATCAAGCTTACTCGTTCCGTTTTCTGTACTTCTTGTCTTGATACAACTCCCCACGTAGGCACCTTTTTAGTCTTGCTTTAAGGCACTTTCATCTTTTTACTCAATCACGATTCTCGCTCTCACAATCCTTACGCTCAGTATCTCTGTAATCAGTATCTTCCTCTGAGTCATTTGCATCACAGCTATCGATTTTTATCTCTTCATCTAGTACCTTTCAAGAACACGCAGCGGTAGGTACAGCTCAATACCGTGCTCCGTTATTTCTCTCTTTCTGTGATGTGTTAAATACTCGAAAAATTGATGAGTCTATTTGCACATTCACGTGTCTCACGGTTATCTTTTGGATGGTATTATCAATTTTCAGGTTGGTTAATTCAGCTTTAGAAAAAAGTCGGTCATGACAGAATTTGATAGTTTTTTGTTCGCATAATAGACTATAGCTCATTTAGATACTCTTCACAACAACTGTCATCGCGTCGTTTATTGTGTCCTTCGAACTCATGGCCCGGTCAGAAATGTTCGATCCTAGCGCACCAGGTGTTACGAAGCAAATGATGTTAGATTGGTTACAAATCAATCATCCCATGTCTGTAGTCTCGTCACATACCGTCAAGAGTGGTGTCGCCGAGATAGTGCGGAAGAAACAGCCCGAGTGTGAGTGCATCTCTGACGTCGATAATCTGTTTCTCTCTTACTATATAACTTATCCGTTTTCCGTTTGATCTTTTTGATATATGCCAAAAGTTTTCCCGAACCCAATGAGCGACGCGCCAGGACTAATGCCAGACACTTCCAACCCGGTCAGCGAATTTCAAGTCGATATGCCTGGTAAGCTTTTTTTTCTTTCCGATCTGAATAGATTCCACTGCAAACATTCTGACTCGTGAACTACCTAAGTGTCCACGGTTTACCCTTCATCATCTGATTCCCCCCACCTGGCAATCACACCCGAGGAACCAGTCAATCAACGTGACTTCCCCACCTCAAGTGTACCTTTGAAAGCCTCTGGTAAGTGACTCGATTGAGAACATTTCAATTCAGATCTTGTAGTTCTGACTTGTGAACTATAATCTACAGCGGAACATCAAGTCACGCAATTGGGACCCCCAATCTCCAGCGCGAAACCCTTGAAGCGTGCCACCTTTGGTAGGTGACTTGATCTAACACCTTGTCAGTTTGATGTTGTGATGCTGATGCTGTGAGCAACGAACTAGCTCTGCCCGTTAATTTGCCTCAAGAGCTCTTGCGGTCATCAACATCATCAGAAGGGCAACTCAAGCGACCTGGTTCCCCCACTCCAAACGGACAGGTTTCTAAACGTGCTAACCTGGGTAAGCGTCTTCATCCCGAGAGATCATATTGTTATACCCATCGCTAACAGTCACTTGGCCAACTCAATGTGTAATATTTATTAGATAATGTAGGACTGTCGCAATCTCGAAGTAAACCTGTGAAGAAAGAGAAGAAGGTGAGATTGGTCAGCCATCCATGTTCCTATGCCTACTGATCACGCCGTCTATCACTCTTGACAAACTTGTCATTCACAGCGGGTAGCAAAGAGCTATCCTGTCTTAGGTTCGAGCAAGCCATCACATCAGATACCGCACAAGTCGACAACAGGTTTGTACGACTCGTGTACCGACTTATTGGACACTGTCAACAAGGAAGATCTCAAAGCCTTGCGATCTTATGAAGTAGAACATATGAAATCATCAAGCACTTCGACTGGCATTCAATCCAGCTCGAAAATGATGGAAAGCAATGGGCTCATCAATACTCCAGACACTCCTGAAATGCGGGACCTCATCGATCTCTCAGGTGTCGATTGGCTTGGTGTCGAAGATCTAGGTCAGTGTTAACCATTTACTTTCATGTTTCATAGCCTCATATCATAGTAATCTTTTCTCATGAGCAGCAATCACGGAGGACAAACAAAAGCACAGAATAACTGCATCAACAATCAAGTCTGGCGTGGATGTATTCCACGAAGAAAGACGTCGAGCAGAGATAGGTACGGTCCACTGTACTTCTAGCACATGACACACGCTGATAGACAGACATGAGCAGTTTCTGGTCTTCAGGACTCCGTGTCTCAGCTGTTGAAAAGGATGGATGCTGTGGAGCAAACATCAGTTGCTAGCATCATTCAAAATGAACGACAAAGATACGAGCAAGGTGCGTGTCTCAATTTGAAGGTTAAGATTTTCACTGACTCTGCTTTCCATTTCCTTTACAGATCGTGCACTCGAGGAAGCCACGCGTCGTCTTGACAATCAAGCCAAATGTATTGATGATCTCAAGGATACCGTCTCCGGCTTGAAAGAGCAGCTGCATCTTCTGCAGCGCCAATGCGACAAATACGAACAAGACATTCAAACACAGGAACGATGTATTGTGCGGCTGATGCAGCATGACGTGGGTGAAGCGGATTCAGACGGAGGTGAAGAGGATTCAGACGGAGAAGTCGGCAACAATGAACCTGGAGTTGACAGTCAATCTGACTATAGTGTTTGAAAACTCATATTTTATGCGCGATGGGTTGTTAGTAATTTCCTAAAGACGTTATAATCTTTGTAACCTTTTCTATTGTTTGGCCCTGGTGGCATTGGTTTAGATACATGTTTGCGTTTGTTTGCTTCCTTTCGGTCTTAGTCTTTTGAAGGTTATCTTTATCCTGTAATACATATTATTCATTTCCAAGCTTCTGAATCAGGTTCTTGAGTTGGAAGTCCAGCAAAACTCATGGCACGTGACTGAAGTCAGAGATTGTTATCAGGCCGCATGAACATTCTTTGAGCTTTCTCATTTAAGCACGAGTGCTACCGCGGGTATCAATATTGCTCAGTGATGAAAACAAGAGTCGCACCATTGGCTTGCACGTATCCAAATGCACGTACATCCTGCACAGAACAAATGCAGGACAATTGAGATATTCAATTCCACAACGGATTCATACATAGATACATGAGTACATGCACGATAGTGCACTCAAAAAATGTTTTTTTCTATTCTCATGTCGAACATTTCATAAGGTGTAGTGAAATCTGCTCAATGAAGTTTGGGTCTAATTTCACGACTTTCAATGTAAAAGCTTGGTGTGGCCGATTGGTGTTTTTCAATTATTTGAGACTTTCTCTGCTTCAAAGTGGAAAAATAAAGTAGCTATGTACAATTTCAGAATGACGCGCGATAAAAGATAGGAAAGTCAAAGCCAAAATACACATGTCAGTTGCATGTTTTCAAAGATGTTGAGGTGGGCTGGGATGATCGACAAGTACCTTTTTGATATCTTGAAGTGAGACAATTTACTTAGAAGGATCCGGTTGACGGCTAGCCAGAATGTTTCTAATTGTGATCAATATAATATTAGTTCAGAGAAGTCAAATTCGTTAACTGAAGAGAAGAGACTTACTTGTGATATTCAGCCAACGCGGCAACAAATCCAACATCTTGAATGGAATTACTAAACAATCGCTGATTAGATCTCAATGAAATGATCATAGTTTTCTGCCGCTCCTCAAGCACTTGGCGTTCGGTTGGTGAAAGATTGTTTTGACGTAATTGAAGCTGTATGCCCTCAATGGACTGATGACAATCTTGAAGGTAGCATGAACTGTCGTGGAAGGCTTCTTCGGCACCAGCTTGGGCTTCCATGATCACGTTGATCTCTTCTTGATTTAAGAACTCGTAAGTATCGAGAAAGCGGTTGAGGTATTCGGCAGCAAGACGGTACTGCCCATTCTTGAGGTACGTAAGACAAAAGTTGTTGAACATTGCCATCCGATTGACGTCGATATCATCGACAGAGTCTACCGTGGTTGTAAATTCGGGACTTTCGGATATTGGGGTAGGTGATGAGGCTTGCGTGTAGTTTGGAACGCGCTGAGTAGGGATGATTATATTAGATAGACGCGGCGCAACCATGCCGATGAACATCTTTTGGAGGAGATCACGATCTTGTTGTGCATTCGGAGTAAAACGAAAATGGGGATAGAACGCTAGGATTGTCTCTAAGATTTCGGTGGTAGCGGCTGTACGTAGAAATAGTTCAGGATCAATGCTTGGCCTAATGCCATCAACAACATATCGAAGAAGATAACTAGGCAGAAAAACACAAAACTGGATTGGGTTAGACATGATGTTGCTATAGAGGTTCAAATTCTATTATCAATAATCAAAAATAAATGGCACGGGTGGATTGGGAAGGCGCTTAGTTTATAAAAATCTGAAGGCCCACCTCGCATCGCAGGATTGGAATTTTCCATATAATGATAAGTATCTTCATTCGAGTGCAAGTCAAGATTCGCAAAAGGATGAGTTGGCCATATGGTGCAATGTCAGCTGAATGATTCATAATTAGTAGAAATGTAGAAGTCTTGATATCAAGATTTCTATGATATCAAGACTTCCATGAAACACACAGATTATAGTAATATGCGATCTTGTAGAAGCCCAAGGAGGCTGCAATATCAGAATAATAGAATTTCGACCCATGATGCATGCATAATTCGAAACAATATTACTTGCATTACATAAAGTTGAAGTCAGTTAAGGTGTGGCCAGTGAGCAACATCTTTGATGGTGCGATTATGTGATGTCGTGGTGTCATATATAATATATTATATACAAGATCAACACACATTTACACGCCCCACAAGTAATTAATCAAGATCCTTAATATGAGGCTCTTGAAGTGGTGATGTTACTCACCTTTATCCCCGCCCGCACCACCCTCAAGGGCAACTTCAAAACAATTGATCAATTCCTTTCGGCTTGTACACTCTGACTTCCCGTACTTGCACCCCTGATATTCCTGACGTTCATCTTCGAGCCATCCAAGTTTTCCAAAATCATTCGTCGCCAAAAAGCCCATCATGTCTGAGTATCTTAAAGGTTTGAATCTCTCCACTTTCCCACCTAGTCATCACACCACTGTATTGAAAAGTGCGAAATTGGTCTTCAAATTTAGCTGAATCTGAAACTAGCAAAGATCCTGGAGCGGCGATTTGGTCCCAAACTCCAGACACCACCAACACGGAAAATCAAGATTCAAAGGTTGATGTTCACAATGCGACAGATGACGTGAAATTGAGTGATGGGACAGGTGTAGATTCTGGAAAACAGGGTTTGTAGATATTGCTTAAAAGATTGGAAGTTTAAGGTAAACTCGGCGTTGACAGTGTCCATTCCCTATGAATTCACAGATACAGGTACTCAGACACATGGTTGTGCCTTGAAGCGCGCCCACGATGGTATCTATGAAGAGAATACAAGAGTTGAAATACAAGGTAAGGACAATCTTCTTTGTCGCTTTTCGTGATTTATTTGGGTGCTCGATCAAATCAGACTGACGTGTGCATCAAATCAATGCAGGTACTGCATTCAAGGAGCCATTGGACCGTATGAATAGCATGCTGGGTCTGCTTGAGAGAAAGCTTAGGGAAAATATTGATACTCAAGCTGTACAACAAGAGCGAATATATGGTGTGTGACATTTGGTATGAATGCTGATCAATACTGTACTCAATCATCGATTCCTACTCTTTTTTCTGTAGCTTCAGTTGAGGGCAAGATAGCTTTACATCTCGAAAAAGCAATCGACGATATACATGTGCTAAAGTCTAAGGTTGAAGATTTGCAAGTGGAGGTTCTTGATTTGAATGAGGAGGTGTCTTCAGCCCATCACAAGATCAAGATACACGAGAGAGTAATCCGAAAGCTTTTAGGACCTGCGGGCAACAACCTTGTTGACCAATACGATGATGACTCAGACGATGTCAAATCCGATAACACTGCTGAACCACAAACAGACTCCGGTGTTTGATTGGATCTAATCCTATGATGTAGTTTTTGTTTCTGATTGTAATGGGATTGTTTCAGCTCTCTTGGCGTTCGAGGCATCTACTAAAGGCAGAACAATGAATGATACTAGCAGTCTTATAGCACGTTTGCTTTCTTTATTCACGAGTGCCTCACAAATGGAGGATCCAATTTTGCAGAAACATTTCCTCATCTTTGCCATTAGAATTGCGATGGTCTTGGTTGTATTTTCATCTGTTGTTTCTTTTTGGATATGTAGTCGCTGGGTTGTCTATTTGTTTAAGCCTTTGTTCATCTGGTGTTTGTGGTCCAATGGCTAGTAATATATGCATGAATTTGCATGTACAACTACTGACGATGATGTTATCTTCAGAGTTCATCCGTGGCAGCCCTTATATCAACAGAGCACGCTGAATTGGCAGGCAGTACAGTCCAGTGCAAGCAATAAAAAGTAGTTTTAAAAACCACATCTAACACAAGAAGACAATACAGTACAATCCAGGTGTGTGAGAATGTAGAAAAACATCAGAATTCTTTAGTGTTCGGAACAATCAGGAGGTGAAGATACTGAATTGAGAGGCAGTATAGTCCAGTGCGAGCAATACAAAGCGGTTTCAAAAACAAATCCTACAAATAGAGCTGCTGGTTGGAAACACGAGACATGAGACGGAAAACAATACAATACCAACCAGGTGTGTGATCACAAAAGGAAAAAAGCAGACAAGCATCACAATTTTTAGACAAACATCACGATTCTTGATTGTCCGCACCAATCAGGTAGTGACAATAGAGTAGTGAAATCCCTCAATTAAAACACCAGGCTCAACAGTCCCTTCACAGATGAACTTGATGTATAAGGCAAGGCAAACAGAACGATTCAATCCGGCATTGTGAATGAATACCTCGGGGTTTTTGCATTGGAGAGCAAAACGGAGGTGTTCGATCGTGTGTCCTTTAAGAGCGTGCTGTTTGACGGCACGGGGTGCTTTAGTGAATTCTGAAGATTCGGGTAAGTTGAGATCTGGATCGATGTGTTGTTTGTAAAGCCGGCGTAAACCATCTATCTTAGTGTCTGAAGTTATGTTCACGCTGGGAGCTCGACGCTGGAGGACCTCTTTCAGCATGCGACGAGTTGTAGTGGAGGCCAAAGGATCAAAGTCGTCTTCCTCAGTATCCATGGGAGTAGGCGGAGCGGGTGATATAAATGGCTTAAGACGCGGTAACCAATCTTTTTCAAATTCTGCAACCAAGGCCGCTTTAAGGCCGGTGAAACTAGCCGTGGTGGCCGGGTTGAAGTGCAAGAGAATTCGATAGAACTCGATTTTCTTTATCGACTTTTTCTTGATCATATAGTCATGCTCAAGGAACTTCCGAAGGTCGGATGGTAAGGTTTGCACTGCGTGCCATAACGGATGTGAACTATCGTCGTTGGTTGGTGAATTTGGACCCTTGGAAGGGAAGGTCTTTTGACGACCAGCTGATGGTGGGGCTCCTTCAAGAGTGAAAGCTGCAGGAGCAGCCGTCTTCTTCTGCATATTAGACAGGATCTCGGTTGCAGTGCTTGGCGATGTGACCGGACTGGTGCTGGATCCTGACGATTTTCCCTTCTTCGACATAACTAGAGTTATTCAATGGTCAAAAATTTGCTGAATACTTTCACAGAAAGAGCATGGTAAAACATACCAGGATTGTTCAAGGAGTTGAAGAACGCAGGCAATCGTATTGGTAGATTGAAGCTGATTGAAGAGCGGTCTACAAGGAACTAAAAGTTGAGGACACATGTGGTTTAGTGAACATCAGTACACTTGAACGAAGATGTATATTCGGTTTCAGGAGATCGAGAGCAAGAGAGGTATGATTCTGCGTACCCTGGAGGCTTCGAGTATAGGCTTATTTAAGGCTTCGTTTTCCAATTTGAGAGTAATCCGGTAGCTGCCGATTCGTAGATTGAGTGATGAAGGTACGTGAATCAATGATATGCGAGATCAACAGGCAAAGTGATAATTTTGAGACTAAACGGAGTCAAGAAGGAAAACACAAAAACGCAGAGCAGTGATATTTGTTCAAAACGTAGTAACCACGATCACGGATGTTAGAAAGTGTTGTGCGGGGGGAGAGGAGAAGACCTGAATCCGTAAACGTATCAGTTATACTTGAAGCTGTGGAAGAGTGTACATGTCCTATGAAATAAAGCTTCTGGGTGATGAACAAAATCTGCGAGTGACAAAGGTGATTAAATATACAAATGTGTCCAAACAAAAACCGGGTATGATGAGTTGGATCAAAAGTTGCTATAGCTTATTGTGGGGCTCTGGTGCGTAAGACATGCAAGTCTTTCGGCCCGTGTTGCAGGGTCCATGTGAGTGAGTCACTAGTTTGACTTGATCACCCCAGCAACTTGTATTTGTATACCTCAAATGGCTTTGTCCATTCCTAGGAATCGGTTTCCCAGGTGTTAGATCCCTTTGAGCTGAAATGCGTCAACGTAGTAAAGATACATGTACCCATCTCCGCCGCGTCCTTTGTTGACGGAGCTCATGCGTATGTCCAGCTCACAAGAAACAGTACCCACTTGTGTCGCGTTGTTTGATGACTGAATTAATGATTATCTGTAGCTCATGAGAGGTAGCACGAAGGTAGTAAAGACACATGTACCTGCCTCCGCCATCTCCTTTGATGTTGGAGATTATGCCTATTCCCAGCTCACAAGAAATAGTACCCACTTCTGTCGCTTTATTTGATGAGTAAGTTAATGAATATTTGTAGCTCATGAGAGGTACCACGCTTTTGATATACCCTTTCATGTTTTGTTTGCATACATAGTGAGCCATTTTTGTGTAGCCATGGAATTGATTTGCGGTAAAGGACATCACTTGGCAAGTTGGAAACACACCAATTTTCCTACAAAACAAAGGAACTGAATGGCTGTACTTGATCATTCCATCACTTCAACCTCTCTTTGGATAGGCCGATGTTCTAGGTGCCATCCAATCACGTATATATCGTTCCACCGTTTTCACATTATCCGACATCGTCAGAGTCACATAATTGTCGTAGAGACAAGTCTGAGTATTTTCATCCTCTAGTTTTTTGTTCTGTCCTGCTTTATTGCTCTCATTTACACGTGATGTCTTCAAAAAAAGAAAAGAGCCTCCCTCGTCGAAGCTTGCGAAACAAACCTTCAGCGCCACTTGCAGAGGGCCCTGCATCAGCACCTCCTCAGCCAGCACCGCCGGTGCTTTCTTCAGTCCTCAAGCTTTCAACTTCACAGCCGCATTGTGAACCACCTGAAGCGGGTCCATCGACCACAGGCACGCGGCCCCGAAAGCGCAAGAAGGGCCCGCCTCCACCTACCAGCTCGGCGGGCGGTAAGCTTCTATTTTTTGTGGGAATCTTCTTGTTGGACGTTGTAGTTGACTCATCAATCAATTCTCAATCGGCCACTCTTGGCTATCCTTCTCTGGCATCATAGGACACGAGACACCGGAACTGCACGAGGATATACCCAGTCGACTTGAGAATTCGGGCGTTTCAGTTGGACCTAAGGCGACCCGAAACCGATTGTTAGACCTCCTTGATAAGTATGTGGACACCAAGAGGCCCAGGCTAGTCCGTAACAACCAAGCCCCAAGGATTCGATCGAGTCACGAAGTTAGGTCAAAGCGTCGACAAAACTTGGAACTCAATACGACTGAACCCTCTCCAGCCAGAAATCAGGACACTCGCAAAGAATCTCTGGCTGCTGACCCAGCTCCCCCAGAAGATTACGACTTCAACATTCTTGAGTGCCCAGACTTGATTCAGATTGTTGAAAAGATAGGCTTTGATGGCAGGAGGCTCACCAAAGACAAACTAGTCGATCTCTGCAATAAGCATCGTGATAAAAGTACGTCAGGGTTGAATATATCAACGCAGGCTCAGTGTGCTGAAGCCTTACAAATAAATGAACAGCTCGCATACCCCGCCACCAGTTCCGATTTGAAGTCCAAGCACTTCAAACTTCATCTCCGCCTCCCACTGGACCCGAGGGTTGGTCAATTCAATCTTGATTCATAATGGATGTATCAACTCAAATGTGTACTACGCGTAACTTCCTCCTTCTTATCAGCTGGACCTGTGTCTGGTGACCATTATCCAGGTAAAGTGTTTTTAAATATTGTTATTGGTGGGTCAATAAAACTGATTAAACTTCTTTCCGCACACGCAGATGTTGGGCTATCATCTCTCATGCAATGCTCAACTCCTACTGGTCAGAGTCTTCCACCCAACATCTCATCAGTTGGCCAAGCCAAATCACCGATCAGCAAAAAAAGAAGCAAGGGTAAAGAAAGAGCAAGATCGTCCTCGCCTACCCAATCTTCTGAGCGCAGTACAACCGCACAACCTGGTTAGTAGTTTCAGACCGTCCTATGTAGAATCAGTGTATCTATGATTGACACTTTACATAAACTAGCCGATTTGTCCCAGTTTTTGCAACCTACTGAAGATGTCCTCAACGAAGAACTTCCTAGTCTAGAACATCGACGCTTCCGGCACCCTCGCCCTAACCCAACCCACAAATTAGTTTTGAGCAGTAAAACCAATCCAACAGAATCTTCTGACGATGACTGGCATCCACCAGACGACGACAAATCCTCAAGTGACAGTGACGCTGGTGATAGATCTGAAGAATCAAACTCTGATAAGCAGAGCCCCTCTCCAAAGTCTACTAAAAAAACGCCGGCTATGTCTCACGTATCTCCACCGCAGTCTTCCATGCACGCTCAGTCGCCACCATCCCCTCATGTGGGTCAATCTGATGCTCCTGGACAGGGTGCTTGCGAGGAAGAACAAAATGAGCCCGAGTGGCGTACAAAATATTGTAAGTGTCAATATGCATATCTATCACACCATGATTACTGAAGCTTCACATACCTTTAGATCAACTGAAACATTCCCTAGCAGAAACTAATAGCAAACTTGAAATCGTTACCCACGACTTGAACGTTCTATCGGAGGTGGTTAGTCGAATTTCAGACGTCAAACCAAGCTCGTCGCCTGAGACCAAAACACGGGGTGGAAGATCCGCGGTGAGTCTGCAAAACAACACCGGCAAAGACCAGCCAAGCTAATCAGCCATGCAGTATTGGATGCGTATACATGTCGACACTCTTCTAGGTCTTATCAACTCTGCAGCCAGCCTACCCCCTCCGGCAACCGAAGAAGAGCAAGAGGCTTGGCAAATTGAAATTGACCTTGATAACTTTGATCCTTGCACTGAAGCAACCCCATCTACTTCTGACCCATCTCTTCCGGAAAGCGACGGGCTGAAACATCCCAAAGCAACAACCCAACAGCTCATTGTTATGCGAACTATGTTGCGATTTGTGGGGGTCTCACGCTTTTGTCCCAACTTCGCCAATTCCCCATCTTCTGCAGAGAACAAATGGTTATGGGATCTCGCATTCAGAATCTTCATCAAGATAGTCGAGTGCGGCGAATATCCTGGTGTGTCACTTGATGCCAAAAATCGTAAATACCTCAAGAAGTTGTTGGATACACGTGTACGATCTCTTGTGAAACGGTGTGTATCATTAACTCTCATAACCCGGTTTCTTAATCATCTTCTAATGCGCATATTCATTTAACAAACGGACGTTTAGGTATCAGCAAGAGGCTTGGACTGAAGTTCGAAAGAAGCGCGCTGCCAGTGCAGTCCGAAGACGTGCACGGCTGGCTTATGTGCGTCCCGTCATTTCCAGTCTGTTTTCCAAAGCTTCCATCAGACTGATGCAACTATGAACAGACAAAGAAACTTCGCGACCGTATAGTACTCTCACAACGGCCACTATGGCCGCTTTCAGCCGTCATCCAAGAAGCTTGCAGCGATGACGAGACAGATCACGAGGATTGTGCACACCCCGACAACATCCAATCACGAACTCCGTGTCACATCAGAAAGCCAACTTGGCGCAGCTCTGAGTTGACAAACATCTTTATACTTTTGGACGAGTATAAAGCCCGGCTCGACGTCAGTATCCCCAAGCCTAGAAAACAGGAAAATCAAAGCAGTGGGTCAACTCATGGACGCCCTCCACGACCTCGACTCCGGTGCCCGAATGGACTGATTTCCGATATTCCTGTTCCCTCTGGTCTCCCAGTAGACTGCTACTCACCGGATTACCTTGACTCATTAACACCCTTTGAAAGGAGTGCACTTGAGATTGATCGTAAACCTCTCCTTTCAAATTTGATCCCTATTGTAGAGTCACTACAATGATGTCTTCTCTTGTAAGTCATCAATCAAATATCTTTGAGATATTTCAAAAACATAATTACTAACTATATACATGAACTCCAATTTTAGACACGTAATTTAGGGACTCATCGCGCCATAGATACCAATGCAACTGTTGCCACATCCAAACTCTTGTGAATTGAACCAGGCCCGTACCTCATCCAGGCGCAGTGCGCTACCACTTCATCTAATTTCACCAACACACTGTCAGGTTTCTCCCACAATCGTAACTCAGCCTGGACGTCTGGTGCATCAGCTCTTGCAAATGGATTAAATTGACTGAGGGAAAGTGGGCGGAATGCTTGTACACATAGCCATGTGTCTTTTATATTTTTGTTTAGTTCCGGACTTCTGTAGTGTGTAAAGATAGAATGAATTTTACCAAAGCATTTGTGTCCTTGAAGTGAGTTGAAGACAATGAAACTGTCTTTTTGACTTGCTCTAAAGGTTGAAAAGTTTACATCTAAATGTAAAACTTGATTGTAAAACATTCCTCGAGCTGCCACCGGTGCACAACCAAGAGAGCCTTCTTTGGACAACGAAGCCCATTTCTCAGGTGTCACCCACGTACAGTCGTCTGTCCTTTGAGTATTCAAGCGCTTTGTCAAAGATTTCAAGATAATGGGGTCAAGAGATTCCATCTTTGAGTTCGAAGTCTGTCTTCGAAGTTTTGGTAATGGCTGGTATATTTCTTTCAAGCGTGATATATAAGGATGAAGGGCTTCAGGAAGTTTTTCATCTTCGAGGATCCCGGCAAGGTTGCCCGCACGGCAAAAACTCTTCATGAATGTGATTTCAATTTCGCCTTTGGAGAGAAAACAAGTGAAGGTTAGTCATCCATTGGAGTTGACAAGTTCAGAGACACACTCACCAACATGATTGTTGTGGCTTGCTTTGAGGATAGCTCCCATGAGCCTTTCATACGGGAATGACCACCAAGAGCGGACAGGACCAGCCTTCTCAAGACAATCAGCCAAATGTATAGCCATGTGATGGTTACAGGTTGGTTTACAGTGCTCAAAGAGTAAAAAAGAACTCTCTAGATATTCGCGGATGTGATAGCGGTATGATGAAATGATTTCGGAAGTCATCACCCGCTTGAGTGCAAGGTTGACCAAGGATACCAAATGACAAAAGTTTTTGAGGAGTGACGATTGGACATGATCTTGGCCGTACCACATTGGAATGAGTATCAGAGGTAATTGAATTGTGAACAAGTTTCGCCATTCATCAGCTTTAAGCTTACCAAACGAAGCTTTACCCAAAACGGGCAGTGCACGTTTAATCCAGCTGGGAATATGAATATGAGGGAGTAGTGCGTTAATTTCTTTCAACATGGCTGCATCGAATATAATCTTGTCAACTGGTGGTGGCTCCCATGTGCCATCCCATCCTTCGCCCAAAGGAAGAAAATCCTCATCACTCGAGTCAGTATTCTCTGAAAACGAGAGGTTGTTAATGTTCTCATCTTCGTCGTCGTCAATCTCTGGCGCGGGGAAACCCTCAGGCTTTGCTTGCGATTGTGGATTCGAGTGCTCTGACAGAAGATTCAATAATTCAACTGTACTGATTGAAGTTGACTGATCTTCTTCGTCCATTATCTCTTTCATCGACCAAAACCGTCGGCAGTGCCAAGCCAGAAGGCCCAGTAACAAATTGTGCATTGAGTCAATGACGTGACATTCGATGATATCCCAATATTCAAGATCAACTAAAACTGAATAACGGACCCCATGGGTTTTAAAAATTTTCTCTCGTTCCTTGACGGTTTGAGCATCCCGTGCTGAATATGCCCATTTTTTGTGCTGGCAAGTGGTACGTGGTGGCCAGGATGAGGGATCAAAATTCTTGGCCTGCGCCTTCATCAAAAGACAAATGGAGCAGAAGTACTTTGCATTTGCACTTGGAAAACCAAGAGATCGTCGTAATGCAGGTAAATCGGCTATAAAGAGCAGCAAGGCGGCTCTGATCAGGCGACCTTTCTTGTGGGAATGTGTTTGTGAAAGAAGCAGGCCTTCATTCCAAAGAACTTGAAGTTGAGTTACGATTGGTCGTAAAACCCAATTCATCTGCTCCAGTGATGGTTCCCGTGGTCCTGGAACAACCCCCACTAAGAACACGTTTTCTGGCCGATAACGAATGCGAAAGGGTAGTGTCAGACACACTAAGACAATGAATGTTATTGATACGTGGTGCCCGCTTTGCTTGTTCCCGAATGGATTTATGCCATCAACAAACATTGCAAAGGTAAGATTGCCGCTTTGAGCGGTAAATTGTTTCCCATCTCGGCCGCGGAATTTCTTCCAGATCTTGGCTTGATGGATATCATGTACCGGACTGTATGGATCAAAAGGTTTGATTGATTCTACCAAGGACTCATCAAGCCATGATTCAACACAAGGTCGCGAGAGCAGTCGTGCAATCCAATCAGAGAAGCTCTGAAATGCGTAGCGTCGTACAGGGATCGAGCTTCCTCTAGAAAAACGTAATAAAGGTTCACCACATAGACGATCGGTCAAATCGGGAGTGTAGTTCTTCAATAACGTAGCAGATAACTCGGTATTCGAATCCTTGGACTCTGGCGGACCACCTGGGATACTAGCTATTCTATGATTGCATATGGGTGGGGCGCTTTCGAGGGAGTACAAAGCGAAGCAAGATGGACAGCAATTCATATATACGAGAGTAGGGTCGATTTGAAGCCAACCAAAGACTGTAGCAACTGTCTTCGGAATCCGACGTAAAACTTGATCATCATAAGGTAGAAGCCGGGCAGGTGAAGAATTTGGCCTCAAGCCATGTGTCAATGCAAGCTCGACGTTTGTTCTTTGCACATCCAAAAGCCACGAAGTCGTCTTCAACGATGCATGGCCAAAGATATTCATCATAGCCGCAGCTAGTGCTGCATGCAAATGTAGCGGGTTGATGAGTTCCAAGCTAAATTCAAAGAATCGTTCTACCAACATCAATTTGGGTAAGCACTTTGACTGTTCACACAGCTTTGTAAATCAATCATGGCCTGAGCTGACGCACCACAACTGTAAGCTTGAATGCCAGATAACTGCACCGTTTCTGAAGGGCTTTGAAAGGTATTAGCATGTGTGTCACTATTATCCAGATTGCTTGAAGAATTGGCCAACTCCGGGGAAGGTGTAGATCTGCGAATGAAGGCTGAAGGTGAGCGGTCGAGTTGCAAACTTGGTGATCTTGTATTTACTGCTGTGTTCAAAGGAGCCCTTTCGGCACTCCCAGATGCTCTCAAGGGGAGGGTTGAGCCCAGAGCAACTCTTTCAAGCCGCAATGCTAGATCTTCTTGACTTGCGACGACGGTCTGAGGGCGAGAACTTGATGGTAGCCGCGAGGATGGAGCACCAATGTCTGTTTGAGACTGCAGTCGTAGTTCTGCACGTTTATGGGCATCAAACGCCTCCGGACTCAGCTCAACACCGGAACGAGCTATCCCAGTTGCGTCTGTGTAGTGACCAGAAGAGCATTGGTATGCCTCGCAAGTACAAATATACCTTCGGGTTTGACGAGTCTTCTTTTTTGGGGACAGCATTTGGCGGAATAGAATTGAAAACAGAGAGTTTTGATCGACAGGGTACAAATTCAGAACTCGGGAAGTACAAGAGGGCTGAAAAGGTACAAATAGAGCAAGGGTAATGTGCGATTGTGGTGTTTGAGGACATCAATTGACACCTGAAGCACTTCTGTCGAATGACTTTGAAGTTTCATGCTATCTACTATCTAGTGACACAGTACGAGTTCTTGATACCCAATTTCGGCTGGTATTGATGATTGCACTGATGAATGTTTGATGGCTACAGTTTTGAGAACCTGGTTTCAGCCTTGAGATGATTGCAGTCCCACTGAGATATGGTATGAATAAGCATGGTGTTGATCTATACTAGGAGTTCTGATGGGAAAGAAGCTAAAGAAGCATCATCGATCAGTTCTAGGTTCAGAAGAAAGGCCGATTGTGATTTGTTCTGCAGGACTAAAAAGGATGATAGAGTTTACTCGATTGGAAAGACTAGGAAAGACTTCAACTTACGATTGTATTGTCCACGTGGCCATTGGGTCAATGATTATCCTGAGTGAGAATCTTGCTTGCACCTATGGTTGAACTTGAACTTCTAGAGATGGTAGCGTGAAAGATTGTGAGACAAGTGTTTTGTTGAGACTCGAGAGTTGAAGAATGAAGTTGAGATGGTTTTGATCGCTTCATGCAAGCCTAAGCCAATGGTTGTAGCGCCGATAAGGAGTGTCAAGGCTAGAAGGGATGATTCCATGCGGGCTGCTTTGGTGAGACGGAATATGAGTGCAGCCGGGGTGATCCGGGCTAACACGCTCCATATCTCAAACATGTATATGTCCCGCTCCGCTGTACCTGTCTGCATGTTGCCTCAACTTAGCCGGGCAGCCCCAATTGTGCGTACAACAACAAAAGGAGGAAGTTTATGTATGTACTTTTGTATAGACCCTGACATATTTGAGTGTAGAAAAGTGCGTTATGTGAGTAGAAAAGTATAGTTTTCTACGTGCAAACTACTTTTCTATGCGCCTAGGAAAAAATGTAATTTGGCGTAGTGTTTGTAGCTTTGGGCTTTGGCACTTGGCCTAGCTTTTGTCAACTAGAAGTGCCAGAGGTCTGAGTTTGGGCACATTTATTGACATCAGTGCTCTGTGCCGCAGCCGCTGCATAGGAGCCAGATACGGTTTTGTTTGACATTTTCTGGGCTGCTTTTGCCGGAAGACGCGAAGTCAAGACTGAGATTTGTTTGGATTGAACATCAAACTTCTCACTCCATGATGAGGCTTGGAAATCAAAGGTCGGTGTGGGACTTGACTGTTGGGGCTTCATTAACAACACCGCCGCTCTTTGGGAGCCTGCAAGGGCAGACGCCGGTCTATGGAAGAGGGATCTCTTTGTTTGTTTGAACTGGTGTTGGTCAAATGCTGCGTTTATTAAAACAAGTATA